GGGCTATAGGGCCGAATGTGTGTTGATACCGGAAGTTGCATCGCCTTTCCCCGTTACATCTATCATGGCCTCCCCTCTTCTGGGAAGTCTTCCCACAAGGGTTTGGAATGTGCAATCAGCAAGGCTAGTAAATGTATTTGTCTGATGCATAGATGGAAAATCTACAAATAAAGCAAACTTGTAAAAAGTCACCTCAATCTTTTCTTACAGGTAACCTTTCCTATAATACTTCAGATTATTATGTACTCGGTGGAAATGCACCATAGTTCCATTAACCTCTTGCCGTCCGCCCGTAGTAAAAAAACGGACGGACGGCACTGCAGCATCTGCGGGTTGCCGTCTCCAGACGGCAATTTTTTTCTGCTTGCGCCCGCCCCCTAGCGGGCACGCACGGGCAGAAAAGACCCGTCCAATGCGAACACCCGGTACCGGGTGTTTCACATATAGGCGATCAGCGGGTCCATAGCCCGCCGATCGCCTATATGTGCTCGTTCGTCGGCGCTTACGGTTTTTTTTTTTCCACCCCTGACCCCTCACCTTTGTGTTACATCACTTCCGCATTCACCTGTCAGTCATCTGGAGAGAGAAGAAGCTGATAAAGCAGATCTCTGCTTTATCAGCTTCTTTTGGGGTCCATAGGTGATATTAGGGGTCCTAGAGACCCCTAATATCTCCATAAAGAGGACCTGTCAGTGTGCCTTTGCTATTATATAGGGGGTTGTTATCCCCCTATATAATAGCAATAACAATAAGTGCAAAAAAAAAAATATAAATAAAAAAAAAGAAAAGTAACACATAAAAAAATAAAATAAAATAAAAGCCACATATAAAAAAAGGGGAAAAAACCCCCCCAAAATGTTTAACTCCCCCACCCCCACGTTTACGCGCCTATAAACGTAAATACGCGTCCGGTGCCCCAGCGCGCAAAAATTACAATTGCGCTACACATGTTACATATCGCCGCGAACGTCACAGTGAGAGCAATCATTTTAGGGCCATCAATCACTGATAACACTAAACTGATGAGCGGTAACAGCTTTTAAAGCGTCGCCTAGGGCCAATTTTGGGTATTATCGTTTTTTGAGGTTTCGTGCGCGCACGCAATTTTAAGGCTTGACATGTTTAGTGTCTTTTTACCCGACGTGACCCCATCTTTTATATTTTACCAAAAAATTGGGTAATAATAAATGTTTTATCATTTAATATAGGGGAAACTTTTTTTTTTTTTTAAATTTCGGTAATTTTTTCTTAATATAGTAAAAAAATAAAACCCCCAGTGGTGAATAAATACCACCAAAAGAAAGCTCTATCTGTCCCCAAAAAAGGGTATAAAATTCATTTCAGTACAGCGCTGCATGACGGAATAAATGTCAGTTAAAGTACCGCAGCGCTGAATACTGAAAAATGGCCTGGATGGGAAGGGGGTTTAACACCGCGGATGTCAACTGGTTAAAGGCGTTCCATCAATTTTGAGCCAGCGAGAGCTTTATTTTCCCTTTTCAGTACTTTGAAATCTTACCAAGAGTGTTTGGTATGCATTTGAAAGGTCATTGAGAGCAGCATCATGAAGTGCACACAGTCAGACAAATAATTTATATATGTTTTTAAAGGAGCACAAAAGTAATTGCTTCAGATCGAGTGTATTGTTATAAAACATGATTTTTGTAAAACGTAATGTGCACAGTTTAATATGACACTCCTTTTCCAGAAATAGTTTTCTTCTGTGAGTGCATTTTAAATATTTTATCACGGAGACTATGCCCATCTTTCATGGAAATGTAAAACAATACAACCCATGTCTTGGCAGTGAGAACACAATTCTCAGGATCTTGTTTCAAATTCATGGGCGGTCCTTACTACTTTTAGCATGGTCGGGGGGGTGGGGGGGGGGCGCTGTGTATATACAGTATGTATGTGTGTTATTCACACCCACATACTAGCATTCAGAAGTTTTGGATCACTAAGAAATTACACTGATTTAAAAATGAAAGTAGTATTAAGGTCTGGGCATTTTTTACCTTAAAGCATTCTCTGCATTAAGGTAAAAATGCTCAGTACCTTTGGACTCCCCCACCCCACTTAACTGTCAGCGCCCCATGTTCACCGCCGCCGGTCCCCGCAGCGATCTTCCGTCCCAAACTTCCTGGTTGTGGGGGAGGAGGTTGGGGGCAGAGGAGCCTTCTGACATCAATAACTTTTTGGACTGCGAGGGGTGGGCGTGGCCTGCCGCAGGGCTAAGTATGTGTCCATAGATGCACACAGCCACTGCAGGAACATGCACAGGAGCCTCCATCGCAGCCGATTAGCTACTGGCTGCACCCGTGCAGGGGTTGGGGGAGACAGTGATGTGGGGTTCCACTAGAAAACAAGGAATTTAAACCTTTAAAAAAAAAAAATAAGAACAGATCTGGACACGATCTGTGCCTCCCTTATATACAAAGAAGAAGGAAAAAAAAAAAGGAAGGTTTAATTTCACTTTAAGGGTTTTATTTTTTTAGGGATGCACTCGCCCAGCACTCAGGTGGGCTGTGCAGAATCTATGCTTGGCTCTACAGGGTCCCTTTTAAAAGCACAGTGTGATCCTCTTGCCTGCCTCCTGTCGACATTTGCTGTCAGCTGGATCCGCCCGCTGCTGGATCTGGCCGCCTCCACCGCCGAACCAGTGCTGCTTTGGTCCCTGGCCTCCTCCACCGCCGGATCGAAACTTAGGGGACCCCGCTTCTTCCCTCGCCCGACCAGAACTGTGGGGATCTGGACCCACCCCCCTCCTTCCAGCTTCCTCTGCTGCCCGACCAAAGCTGCGGGGACCCACCCCCCCTTAACTTTTTGTGTTTAGGCTGTGAACGACTTTTTTCCTTTTTACTATCCCAATGAACAAAGGACCTAGTGGGACTACTCTTAAAAAAAATCCACTAAGATTAGGTAAATGTACAAATGTAAGTGTATGATTGTAGACATCTTCTGTAACAAGTTGGTTCTCGCTGTAGAAAGATCCTGCTAGGACCATATCTTTCCTTTTATATGTAGCTTGTTAACTTACACTGTTTCTGTTTGCAAGAAAAAAACAAAAACATTTGTGGTTTCTCATCTGAAAGTTCTGGCAAGGCAGCTGCTTCCCTTCTGAAAAGTTTTCTGCCTCTTGCTGATGAACTTCATATAACGTTATCTAGGTTTTTATTGTCTAGCTATGGTGTAAATGGACCATGTATTAACATTCCTCTGAATTCCCTTTGTCTGCTAGATAATATTTTAAAGTTGCAACCAAAATGTCGATGGATGTTGTGCTTTGCCTTATTTTCTATAGATTTGGGAAAATTGCCTTTTTGGTCTCTAGTATACAAGTCTCACGGAAGCGCATCCTGGCCAGCTTTCAGGGGAGGGGGCGTGTATTGAAGTCCATTACACCACAGCCCCCCTGCCGGCAGTTCGATCGGTCATCAGAACGCATGGCAAAATAAAGCCTGCGTTCTGGTCCAGTGTGATCTGAAAAAATGCTGCTAGCGCTATTTTTTCAGATTGCACTGGACCAAAACGGAGAGGTACCTCCTGGTTCCGGTGTGAGGGTGATCGCAATCGGGCAGGGGGCATGCCTGCGCTGCCAGTGACAAGAATGCCACTGTCGCACCCCTCCTGCCCATGAATGCAGGAAGCGGGCCGGGATGTGCTCCAGTGCGTTCCAGCAGCGAATCGCGCAGGAATGCACCGGAGCTGGTGTGATGGGGCCCTTACTGCAGTTGGGGGCTCCATTGGAGAGATTCCTGCTGCAGGACAGGAAATGGGGGAAAATCTCACAAACAGCAACACGGGCAGAAGTAAATAATTTTCTTAAGTATTATTATTATTGTTTGTTTCCCTGTGACATATTTTTTTTTCCTCATTTACGATCTACTAAAAAGTTCTTCCCAGAACAAAAGATGAGGGGAAATCTTTCTAAATTAGCTGTGAAACTTGTCAGGGGGAGTAAAAGTTTTCTTATTCTATCCAAAACTTTAAAAAAAAATACAAGAGTAACTCCCAAAAATTTTGATTTCTTCCTCTTTTCTTGACTACTGTTCTGAATAGCCAGAGTAGCAGCTAGTTGGAGCTGGCAGTGCTGAAAGCCTGCAGCACTAGTCTGATATCTGCTGCAAGGGTTAATTAAATGTGTATAGAGCTGTTCCGAATGGCGTAGGCCAGCTGTACGACAGGTGCAGAGAGACAGCAACCAAGGTCTAGGTGTTGTTGGGATACGTACATGAGGTGTTACCTCATAGCCAGTGTGGGGCAAGCTAGTTATCCAACAACTGGCATAAAGGCTATTAAAACAAACCTTTGAGTCATACCCATTACGTATGGGGAACTGAAAGCTCTGTTGCCTACTCGCTGTGGTGTCTTTACCCCTCTTTCTCCCATTTTGTTCCATATCCGATTCTTCTGTTCTGCTGTAAGCCACAGTCAGTCAGACTTCAGAGATTCTGTAAATTGTTGAGTCTGTGAAGTCACATTTGCTGTTGGTTTGTGATTACATCTGTTTTACTTTGTGGGTTAATATGTCTGTTTGCTGGGTTCTTGCAGCTGAGCATTGTTGACTTTCTTCTAAAGCGTAGTATACAATTCTTCTGCGAGACCCAGCTGTTCTTGTCAATGGGGAATGTATTGTTTTTAGTATTCCGTTTTATAGCATTAAGGATAAGCGGTTCGCACATCGGGGCAGTAGAAAAACACAAATGTTAAACTATTGTTTTCTAGGCAAGTCTAAGTAAGTACAAGTACTTTTTGCCATAAAATGATGGAAAGGAGATTGTAAAATGAATCTGTAAAATGAATCTGCATCTGTGCACACCTCTTTATTTAAGGAATATCATTGTTTTTTGTACGGTTTTTAAACATATTGAGCTTGCTTATTATACTGTTTCCACGGTTATTAATTTACAATGAATGTTGCAATATTTATAAAACGATGATTAATTTAATTCAAATCATGATTCAGTATACTTTTTTTTTTTTCTTCTTCCCCTCAGACTGCCAATGGTTATGTCCTGTTCTTTGACATTGTTACTGCAGGGGAGGACAAGTATTTGTATGAGCCCATCTATCCAAAGTAAGTTGTTGTTTTTTTTTCCATCTTCAGACAAAAGTAAAATACCTAATTTAGCACCAGATAATGTTGATTGTCATTGTTGCTGAACATCCGTCATTTGGCCGCTAAGTGACTGGATCTCCTTTCTTGTGCAGCTATGTGAGGTGTTATGGTAGTCCGATTTGATGGTTCACTTTTATTTCCTAGATTTCGGTAAGGCATACCACCAAAATCTTTAGAATATCTGATGGGAGGTACTGCTGGAACATGCAGTAACAAAAACACTGCAATATATGGTCTGTGTTCTGTGTGGGATTGGTGTATACAAATTGAGCAAGGAATTTATATGGATATTTTTAGTAGTCCCCAGTTTGCCGTTGCAAGCTTGGTCTAAACCAAAAAGTAGTTTATGCAAAGTGTTTCTTGGATAGTTTTTCAAAGGAGCTGAGGCTTTATTGGGTTTTTATTGTGGTATATGCCCTTGTAGGCATATTTCATTTCACTTCCTGTTCCATTGACTGATTCTACCTAGTACAGGAGGTAGGAGAAAATGTCCCCAGCAGAGAACCAAATAGCTATTTTAAAAAACCTGACAGAGGGTCTAACCTTTCCGCACTATCCAAAACTAAAAACTGAGTTTTTGCTAGATTTCTACTTTAAACAGAACCAGTTAGAAATAGGGCATTTTTAATGATCTGAATTTCCACTCTTAGGGACATGTCACTTATATTCTTGTGCTGAGAGTGTACATGAAGCAGGCATATGCAGTTGCTGTATATGAACACACAAACTTCTCATGGAAGTGGCTGCCTCTGTGTTTTGCAAGCAGTGTGTGTAAATTATGTTACAAATAACAGGGAGGGGGAAAGCTATTTATCAGAGGTGCACCGAAATGAAATTTTGAGACCGAAACCAAAAGTAAATAAAAGTCAGGCAAAAAAAATTTCCTAGCCTTTTTTTACATTTTTGTTTTATTTTTTCTAAACTCTTTAATTTTTTATATATTGTATTTGTATTAAACATCTTTATTTTTGAACTTCACTGTTAGAGGCTTCGGTGAAATATCAGAGGTCTAAACAGACCCCTGATATTTCCCTTTTACAATAGAAAAAGAAATTGAGGACGCAGATTCCTAATCTTTTTCTTCAGCCCCTGCACTGAATGACCAGGAATCCTCTATACTGCACTGAGTGTCAACAATGTATGAATGAACAGGAACATAGTATGAGTTACTATGTCCACAATTATGAATGAACAGGAAGAGATGTAGATCACTTTCTATTCATTCATAACTGGTACATAGTAACTCATACTATGTCCCGTTATTTACAAGCATTCAGTGATCACTGAATGTTTGTATACCATTCTCCATCCTGGATCAGCTCTCACAGGAAGCTGAGCGGGCGGTGTGGGGAGAAGAGCTCGGTCTCATTTGACAGCGGACTCCTCCCCCTCACCGTTGGCTCGTTCTCCAGTGATAGCTGTCTTTGTCCCCACACTGCTCTCCCGATCTGTCACAGGCTGAGCAGAGTGGTGCGGGAGGAGAGCCTGGCCTCTTGTGACGGCGCTCACATTGCTCTCCTCAGCGCGCCGCTTAGCCTCCTGACAGTTTCTCTCCTCCCTGCTGGATGCTGCTCTGTGTCGAAGGGGACACAGAGCAGTGCACAGCAGGGAGGAGAGAAACTATGGATGTACTTCAATTTCAGCCGATATGTTTTGTTGGCGGAACTTTCGGCGCATCCCTACTGTTTACAGTCTGCTTTACAATCCAACCCTGGTGTCAGACTGATTTTCCTGTGGGGGAAATTTAGAATTTATAGGCTTCAGGCCTAATAAAACCTTCCATTAAAATGAAGAAAACCTGCAATGTGGGTCATGAAAATGTGCACACGTATACATCATTACTGCACCTCTTCATTACCACAATAAATGCTAATCACTTACAGAGGTGGAACTGGACTTTAAGCTTTGAAAATGAAAGAGAAGCTGATTGGTTGCCATATACAGTTGCTTCTGATTCGGTCTGCTCCATTTTTGATAAATTCCCCTCATGTTTTTTCATTTCTCAAAGTGGGACTTTTGGACTCTCTGGTGTTTAAGAAACTGAGAAACTGCACATTCCAAAAGTCTTAAGTAGCAATATGGGTGGGGTGGTCTGATGCACAGAGACAATGCCAGGATGAAAACTGAAGACAGTCCCTAGGTAGTCCCTTTGCTTATTGTAAAGCTCATTAATATTTTTAATAGAGCGTACCTTTTAATCCAAGATAGATGTTTTGTGTTATTACTAAACTATATAAAAAAGCTAAGCTATCTAGGTATTTCACAAACACGAGGGAACCATTTGCATTTCATGTGAAATACATTTTCTAGATCCTATACATGCATGTAAAAAAGAATTCTTATACAAGATGAGAAAGTACACGGTGCAGCAGTCCACTGTGTGTTCTTTATCTTTTAGGCGGATTACTGTCACTGCTGTCTTCTAATCCACTTTAGTCTAGTTGTATTGGTCATAAAGGTGTTCACTTTTCCAGACGCATGCTTTTTCCACCCACATGTCTCTCTTCACCATTCTTTCTTCATGCTGTACTGCAAACAGAGGGGGAGGATAATGTTTGCTTAGCGCAGTGCACTGCTGATCCATAGAAATCTTATTCCTGTTAGTAAAATGTGTGCAGCTCTAGAATTGAAAAGTATTTTAACAGAAGCTGTAATGGCTTTTGGTATTTTATTTTTTCCATTTTTTTTAGAAAGTTTAAAGCCCAGGGTGGAAACAAAAACCCTGCAGCTCCGTGCATTGCGAGGGTTAAGTGCTTGTTAGCGGGGTTTGTAGCATTGCCGGTTTTGTTTTGGGTTTTCTAAACAGTTTTTATATAGTTTCCTTATTATTATTGACCTACACTGTTTTTACTTTAGTTATATACAATTTGTTATTTTTCAAATAAATATTTAAAGGAGAACTATGAGCCAAGTGATTTTCACTCATCCTCATAGTTAGAGCCGACCTGTGACAATGAAACTGTCGCACATCGGCTCTATTGATCGGGAAGTGAGCATACTGTCGCTCGCTCACTTTGTGATCACCTCCCTGCAGAAAGCGGTGACTGTCATTCACTGCTCCCCGCAGGGATTTCCCCCCTCTCCTCCAGTGCTGACTAGAGGAACGGACAGGGGAGGGGGCAGGCACAGCTTTTATCTAGGGACAGAGCCAGCTGTCAATCAGCCAGCTGTGTGGATCCCGACAGTATTGTCGGGATCTGTCCCAGGGGCAGAGCTCTCGGTGTACAGCAAGCTGCAGCTCGCTATATACTGAGCTTTGGGTGACGGGAGGACGCTAGTATATGTCCTCCCGTGACCCTTAAGAGAACTATGGGGAAAAACACTGACCCCATAGTTCTCTTTTAATACAGGGCACAGCCATGTTAAAGGTTTTACAGAGCCTTTTTCTTTTACAAAATAAAAAGTATTGGGTTTTTAACAAAGGATACAGACAATAGAAACTGAACATTGCAGAGCCTTTCTGAATATCTTTTTGAGAGTAAGGGTGTTACTCATTCAGCTGTGTGTGTAATCTGAGCTTTTTAATTTTTTTTTATTGTGAAAAGCCAGTGTGTAATGGTAAATATGAACTACTCAAGCAATATTTGCATATGCTTAATATATATGAAGTGCTAATGCCTGCACATAAAATGATGTATCAGACACTAATGGAAAACTGCTTAAGCCTGCAATGTTCCTGTTGCACTGTGTGGTCTGCAGTTTGACTGCCATCAGTGAAGCTGACCATATGCCTTGAGCCAGTCTGCATTTCAAGTCATGGAGGCAAGGCTACAGGATTATGAATAGCCTGACCCCTATTGTGAGCCTGAATTTGACAGACCCCACTCCCTTGTATTTAGGTTCTAAACACAGCCTGGCAGCATTACAGGATTACAGTGTAGGCACTGTATGCAGCCCACACAATTTAACATAACCGTTGCAAAGGTGAGCCGTTACTTATTCATTCTTGGCAAGATAGTCAAAGCCTGCCTGATGTTGCTTTACTTTGACATTCAAAATGACGTGGTTTAATCCTTTATTAATAACATAAAAAGATGCCATTGTTCTGCTGTGGGGATTACTAGACAGAATTTCATGTGTGTACATCAAAATACTGGCACTCACTTTAGCTCCTCCATTTAAAATACATTCAGCTCTGAAAAATTCCTGACACTTTCTAGTTTATCTATGAATACCATGAAAACCGATTTTACACAAGCCAACAACCCTTAGGACAGTTGTATAGATGGGGTATATACACTATTTGACAGTATTTGAAGTTGATGACACAAAAAACTCAGTGTACTGTTAGTCAGATTTTGTTCCTGCATAAGTTTTTTGTCATGATTCCTTTTGTGAGAAATCACCTGATTGTTTTAGAAATTAGACTTCTATATTTTCTTAGGGCAGGCGTAGACAACTCCGGCCCTCCAGCTTTTGTGGAACTACAAGTCCCATGAGGCATTGCACGACTCTGAAAGCCACAGGCTTGACTCCCAGAGGGAATTTTGGGATTTGTAGTTAAAGCATGACTGGCTGGCGGGAGTTTTCCACCCCTGTATTAGGGCCCATTCACACTGGATCCGCTGCGCTGCTCACGTTTTTCAACTGATGATAATGGAAGGGCATTGGAAAATGAATGGGGCATGTTCACACCACTCCATTCCGTTGCGCTATGTCACGTTACGCTGAAAAAAGGCAGAACGTACACTACTGTTTTTCAGTGCAGCGTAACGCAATGGATCCGGTGTGAACTAGCCCCATTCACATCCATTCATCTTTCAGTACCTTTCCGTTAGCATCTGTTGAAAAACGTATCGCAACTGATCTGAAGGAAATCAGAAGGTATAATTGCAAGTCAACGGACCCGTCATTGACTTCCTTCCGATTTTGGTGTGAATGCACTATTAGGGTGTCCATCAACATGCTAAATCAGTGTCCAGAGGCATATTTCTAAAGCAGTGAATGTGACCTTCACC